GGGTGAAACCCTAAGGGTTGGCCCCAATGAGCTCCAGGGGAGGCGCCTTGAAGGGCAGGGTCCAATGCATGAGGGGTCCAAGAGGCCAAAGAGCGGGAGCCCAAAGCGAGGTCCAAGGAGAGCACGCCAAGACACCTTGGCACCGCCGACGGCTGCGACAACGCCTCCTCCTCCTCCTCCTCCTCCTCCTCCTCCTCCTCGTCCCCCTCCTCCACCTCCTACTCATTTTTTCCATCCTCCTCCTCCTTCTCCTCCTCCTCCTCCTCCTCCTCCTCCTCCGCATGGCCGTCGCTGCGATGTACCACGACGAAATAAGCACATGGGCCCGCTGCGGATGCAAGAGTGACACTATTGTTTTTCTGTTTTGCTACGCGCGCTGCCGCAAACACGATGCGTTGCCCAGCGCCCCATCGACTGGGGCGAATATGGAAAAGAATCCCGCCAGCCTTGTAGGGCTATAGGCGTGTTAAGGCGGTCCATCTCGCAGCGTTTCGTCAGTCGTCGGGGCGCCCAATTTCAATGGCCCGAGCGGACAAAACTCAACAATAGCTCATAATGAAGACAGTACCAAAAACGTGAACACGAAAAAGTTGTTTCTCCGAGCTCTGCTACGCTGGGCACAATGCATCCAGCTGAATCATCAAACACATGTTCTTACATAGGCGACCAAAAGTCGACGGTGTCAGCATCGTCGGCCGAGTACGCAACCTATAGCACAACCGATAGGAGTCGGTTATATCCTCAGCCGCCGAGGGCGCAGATTATGGCGCAGAGGTACGAAACCTAATTGAGAATGAATCCCCGCCAATATTTCGTTCTCTGTGTCCCTCTTCCCCCTCCTCCTCCTCCTCCTCCTCCTCCTCCTCCTCCTCCTCCTCCTCCTCCTCCTCCTCCGATTGTCCATCCCCAGTGTCCTCTCAATCCTCAGCCCCTCCTGTGACGCGTCCTTATGCCAGCCGAGGGGGAGGGAGAAGGGGAGGAGGAGGAGGAGGAGGAGGAGGAGGAGGAGGAGGAGGAGGAGGAGGAGGAGGACGAGGAGTTGAGGAGGATGGGGGTCCGCACAGAATCAGAAATTCCACGAACGCAAAAATTCCAGCTGCCAACCGCCAAGCGGTCCTCGGCGGCCCGCGGCGGCCCAACGCAGCCCTGGGCGGCCCTCGGCGGCAGCCCTCCGCGGCCCTCCGCGGCGGTCCTCGGCGGCCCCTCGGCGGCCAAACGCAGCCCTCGGCGGCGGCCCTCGGCGGCCCCTCGGCGGGCCCCTCGGCGGCGGCCCGTCGGCGGCCCCTCGGCGGGCCCCTCGGCGGCCGAAGGCGGCTGTGGGCGGCCAGCGGCGCCCCGGGGCGTCCGACGGGTGGGCCCGGAGTGCCTGTGGCGGCTTGCGGTGGTTGGTGCCCTCGTCGGGGAGCACCGGCTGTAGGCGGCCAGCGGCGCCCCTGGGCGTCCGACGGGTTGGCCCAGAGCCTCCTCCTCCTCCTCCTCCTCCTCCTCCTCCTCCTCCTCCTCCCTCCTCCTCCTCCTCCTCCGAGTGCCTGTGGCGGCTTGCGGTGGTTGCTGCCTTCGTCGCCAGTTGTGCCCCGGCGCCGGTCCCGACCAGGCCACTCTTTGGCCCCAGCCCAGACCCCTCTGCGTCATGGAAACATCACGACTGTAAGTGGTTCACCGTTGTCGGCCTTTGGGGGCCCTTACCCGGCTTTGGTGCCGTCAAACAACGACTGAGGATGAAGAACGGGTTTGGGGAATTGGTCGAGACCTTTGGGGTTGACGTTGCGAACAAAGTATGACGTCGGGGGTCTGAGATGCACGTCAGGATCTTGTCATGTCGACGCGGCTGTGACCCCGCCGTGGGTGTTTAAGCATGAGCGCAGTTGCCCAGGATCGGTCAAGATCCACAGATCTGTGCCAAGGGAAAGCCGCTGACCTTTCAAGGCTGAACGGTCAAGAGACCAACGCCAGGGTCGTCGTCACAACAGGAGCCTTCTGTATACGCATTCGTGGGCAAGCGCGGAGAGAGGATACACCGATCTTCGGCCCAGGTTGGGCCTGGCGAGGGTCGAAGTTGATTTATATATATATATATACATATATATACAGTCTTAGATATATACACAGATATGTGTGTATAGATACACACCATAGCAATACATAGACGCAGACAATATGTGCGAGCCCAGGCGTGTCCTGGTGTCCAGGTGGACTCCGAGCGTGGCCACTGGACAGTGGTGAGCCCCCGGTCCAGATAATGCTACGTCCCAGGATCGCTTCTGATGCGTTTTCTGTGTGTGTGTGTGTGTGTGTGCGTGTGTGCGTGCGTGTGTGTGCGCACGTGTGTGTGTGTGTGTGTACGTGTACGTGTACGCGTATGTGTGTGTGTGTGTGTGTGTGTGTGTCTGTGTGTATGAGTGTGCGTGCGTGCGTGCGTGCGTGAGTGCGTGCGTGCGTGCGTGTGTGTGTGCGCGCGTGCGTGTGTGTGTGTGTGTGTGTGTGTGCGTGTGTGTGTGTGTGTGTGTGTTTGTGTGTGTGTGTGTTCGTTCGCTTGTTCGTTCGCCCCCCCGCCTAACGCGGGACGCCGTATCTTCTCACCTTCTCAGCCCAAGCCGCGCGCCAAGGCAAACAATGCAGGCGGCGGTGGGTGAGGGGGACGTACGTGGGTGGGGCACGGTCCGCTGTGCAGCCACTCAACATCAATATGCACCCCGCACGCTGCTCTTGAAAACACCCACCCGCCAGGACCGGCCCCATCCCCAAAATGATAAACCCAGGCTTTGCACAAACACACGCGACGCAAGACAAGCACGTTGCTTCAATCCCAGCGCTGCATGCAGCTCGTGCTGTGTGCGCGCTGTCTCGGCGAGGTGGGTGTCAGTCGGTTCCGGGTGGCGTGATGGGGCGCACCTGCACCGCGCGACACCACAAGGCTCACGGTAGCATTTGGGAACGCGGGTGGGTGAGAGAGCGCGTTTGAGCTACACGTGCGTGCGTGTGTAAAATCAGGAGAGAAAAAACACACAGACGCAATTAATCGTCGATCCCCCAGAAAATATTGGAAAATATGGGAAGTGGGGGGGAAGACGATAACCCAGAAAATATGGAAAAATATAGGGGGATCCTTTTATTTGTGTGTACTTATTTGTGTGTCCCAGGGCCCCTTCATAAGAGGGCAGGAGGGCGAGGGAGGCCACGAAGAGGTTCAACCCGCCGGCAACGGCCGTGCCATCACGCCTGGAAGTGGGGCGCCCCACACCGCGACGACGACGGCGGCGACGAGGGCGACGACGACGACGACGACGACGACGACGACGAAAACGACGACGACGACGACGACGGCGACGGCGGCGGCGGCAGAGACGACGACGACCACGACGACAGCGGCGACGGGGGGGAAGACGAGGCAGGGAAGGAGGCAGGGGCAGAGTGGAGAAGGCGGCACTGGGTGAACGGGCAGGAGGCGGAGGCAAGGGGACGGAGGGGAGGGAGAGAGAGGACGAGAGAGCGACATTACAGCATAACACAGCACGCCGCTTGGCGGTGTGTGTGTGTGTGTATGTGTGTTTGTGTGTTTATGCGTGTGTGTGTGTGTGTGTGTGTGTGTGTGTGTGTGTCCCATGATGCCTTCGACAATGCTCAGTCGCAATTCGCATTTCCAGCTGCTGCCCGCGCTTGAGAACCCTCTGCGCCGCCGACTTGAACGTGTGTTCCAAGATGATGCGCCCCAGGCCCAAGCAGAGGTGCGTCCCAGGAGCGTCCCAGGCGCACTGCGAGCGTTCCCGCTCTCTAACGGTGCGCTCGAGGTCCATGCGATGTGCGTCCTGGGCCCGTCCTGGGTGCGTTGCGTTCCACAGCCGCTCATGCGACAGGCTGCCAAACATCCGCCCTCCACGTTTCCGACCCGTCGTCAAACCGCGTCTCAGTATGCCTCAATCTATGTTTGCGCAAATGTCCCGATGGTGCTCTAGCAGCAGCAGAAACAATGCGTTCCGAAGGCGTGTCCGATGGCATCCGCTTAGAAGCGCAGTGATCCATCGTGTTTCCGACTGCGGTCCGATCCGAAGCACAATGTGTTCACATCATGTTTTCGATGGCGTTTTTTTGAGACTGCGAGGTGCTTGAACTACGGCTTCCGATGGTGCCCTGTTGGAAATGCAGTGGGTCATTCCCCTCCTCCTCCTCCTCCTCCTCCTCCTCCTCCTCCTCCTCCTCCTCCTCCTCACCTCCTTGCCTCTGCGCTTTCCGTCTGCGTGTCCGCTTCCACTCCGTGCCCCCCCCCACAGGGAGCTCGACTGGGCTCCCACGCAACCGACAGTACCAATTTTGGCACACCCCTCACGCGCTCCGTGCCCTCACGGGAAGCTCCACCTGCGGTCCAGACGGACGGCGACGTATGCCGCTCCACGCCCACGTCAGGACCCCCCTTCCCCGATTCGTGCCGCCTCCGTGGGCGTCCACGTATGCCCCCACCCCGCACGTCTGAGCACTCTGCTCACACGCTTCGTGCCTGCATAGGGCGCTCCACCCGATACGGCCCGCGAGGGACCGTCCACGACGCCTCGGAAGAGAGGGCCGATTACCAGCCTGGAACATATCCCTATCCCTATGCTGGGCACCTCCTCATCACGATGCCAATCTTAGGGGTTCCCTTACTTTTTGAGGGCGAATCCCTAAGATTGTCATCGCCTTTTGGCGTGTCAATCTTAGGGATGGGGATACGTTCGAGGCTGGTAAGCCGATGCACACAAGGAAGTGTGCCGAGGCAAGGGGGGGAGTCTCGTGCAGGAGATTACAGAACACCTACCAGGAAGCACTCGGCATTCTCCCGCGCCTTCACGTGCCAGGGGGCATTGCGGCGAAGCTCCGAAGCTATTAATAGGGCGTTCTGCTGGAAGGTGATGTTCGTATGTGGTCGTTGTTCGTGCATGCCACTTATGGGCTGTAGCTTGACGCTCGGACTGTTGAACGTGATAGCCTCATGAATCGCTCCTTGTATTCGCGCGCCTGAAGGACAG